ATTTTTCTTGTAAATCATGTAAGGTATTTTTTTTTACCATTTTCAATTGTAATTTTCTTTTATGAATCCCCACCTCAAATGTTTTAAACATTTTCATTTTCCTCTCAATCTTGTAACTATTTTTGTTCCTTTTCCTTAACATTTTCCAGCCATGAAAAGTTAAATTTTAAGTGTTTTTTTTGTAAATATTGTATGGTATTTTATCTTTTTTATTTGTAATTTTTTTTAATTCCCATCTAAAGTGTTTCAAACAATTTCCTTTTCTTCTCAGTCTTGTGACCATTGTCACTAATTTGTTTCCTGTATAAAAGTACTAGAATTTGGAGATGTAAACAATAAAATGGAAAAAAAAACGAATAAAATAAAAAGGACAAATTGCTTCTTTCCTTTGAAACAATTATTCTTTCACCCTCAAATGGCTCTTAACTTCCAAATGCTAGATATGCAAAAAAAACTTGTATGAATCATAAATGTTTTTGAAAATTTTTAGTGGTGAAAGGTAATTTTTTTTCAAATTTTCATAATATCTTATAATTTTTTCCTTTAATGCTTGAAAATATTCAAATCTATGATGATCTACATTAAATATGTTCAAAATCACATTTTTATGTGTTATGAGTAGATTTATGAAAATTTTATGAAGAGATTTAAAAAAATAAAATAACAAAAAAAATTGAAAATGTATTTTTTATCTGCTTAGAAAGACTTATGTTTTAGATCAATGGATTATTTATCATATCCATAGATCAATTGCAATTTATTCTTTAATAATGTTTTTGATTTTTTTTTTATATTTTTGGAATTAAAAATAATTAATAATTAATTATATTTTATAATCTAATCACAAGGACTGATTATATTATAGATCTATGGATGATCTATCATATCCATAGAGCAATTGAAATTTCTTCTCCAATAATTGTTTCTTTTTAATATATTACATAATGTTTTTTTTATTTCGATTTTTATAATTTTTGAAAAAACGAAATAATAATTATTTAATAAGAAATAATTATTAATTATATTTGCAATTAAAAATTATGCAAATGCATATTTTATGATTGGATAGGATAGTTGGGTTTTCTCATCCCTTAAAACTTAAGAATTACAATTTATAAATTGTAATTAAGCATAGGGTTCTTTAATGAAATTATAATTAACTATGATGTATATTTAATGTATATTTACATAAAAACTATTAAAATATATTAATTTAATGCATGTACACCTCATACCTCAACGAGGCCTTATATTTAGTCTTATTGATGTATTTTTCTTACTTATTGAATTATTTATAGTGTTTCTATGCATATCTATGAATATCTTAATTTTTCTCTGATACACATAGGTATTATTAAGGTATATTCTGATACATCTCTTAAAATTGCCTTCTGATACATTTGATATATCTAATACTTTAAACTTTAGGTCATAGGTAGGGGCTGCATTGGTGGAGATGAGATAGGGACATGGACGGGAAGTGAATATATATATATATATATATATATATATATATTAAATATATATATTTTTTAAAGTGAGATAGTTGTTTTATTGGAATGAGACATGGGAGTTAAAATAGTAGTTTTTTTACTGAGGCATTTTTTGGAAGCTTGAACCTATGAACCGTTTCTTAATTAAAAAAATAAAAAGCTATGAATTCAGACTTGTTGGTGTAAGTTATCCACTTATCCTAAGCTTAGTCCGATCTTCTACATGTAGTTGCTGAACACAATCGCTAAAAATCAATGTGTCGTGTCCAGAAACTATGGTATCTGATTGGTGATTACACAAACTGTGTAGCAAATCTTGACTTGTTTCCTTCACGTGCATTGCCAAACTCACATTACTCGACAAAGCAAATTTGTTGATCTTATCGCAATCGTCCGAGCCGTATGTCCACGTGGCAAAATAAACACTTCTTTTAAGGAGGGTAGGTAGTTGGAACCTGAAACGACTTCTAGAAGGAGGAGCTATTGGGAGTCTCATTTATGGGTTAGGGTTATGGGTTTCAAGTTCTCTTTTGCCCAAATTAACCAGATCATTTGTCAGTTACCGAAAATACTCTTCCTCCTATTTAACTCACTTCTGACTCGTGCCCCTTTCGCTAGCTGCCGACCATTGGAAAGGACGTAAATTCTTAGAATTACAAGGGCATAAGCGTCATTCTGATTAAAAAAGAGAATAGTTGGTTAGAGAGTCTAAAAATCGATTAGAGGTCCAAAAAAGTCAACAGGCATAAGAGAAGATGAGAATATATAAGAATCATCGCTTCGGATTGATGTGTGAATATTTGTTGCTTTCGTTGTTGTGTTTGCTTTAAAGAGGAGTGTTTCGATATTTGAATTGAAGACTGAAATTGGGTTTGGGTTTGAAGAAAGGAGTTAGCAGAGAAAGATGGAAAGAGAGATGGTGAGTGCTATAGGACTGGGATTCATGGCGGCTTTTGCAGTTTCAAGAAGTGTAATTCTTATTGTTTTCCAACTACAGAAGTGTCTTCTTTCGGAATTTATGAAGAAGGCTGAACTAGAATTGTGTGGTATGACTTTCATTCATTCATTTTTCTAATTAAAAAAGATTGGTTTAAGATTTTTTTTTTGAAATTTGGGGTTGTAGAGATGATAATTAAATTCATTTATATGATTGAATTTTAATGGGTTTTTTTTTTTAAGAAAACGTTAGATTAGAATTTGGTTGTTGGCGAGTCTTGGCTATATTTTGTTTCTCATTGAGATATTTTTAATCTCTCTCTCTTCTCTCTTCTCTCTCTCCTCTCTCTTTCTCTCTCTCTCTATATTGTTTTAAAATTGGTAGGACATGGACATGGGAGATGTCATGGTCAAGCCAAGAAGAGGATCCAGATTACAGAGGATGTGGTGGAGCCTTCATCCAACAACAAAGAATACCGACAATAACATTTGAGAAATCCAGCAAAAACCAACAATTTTCCAACAAGGCATGGCATCCTAAAGTGGAATCCTATTGAAGAATTAGAGAACATGCCACTTAACAGGCTGACTCTCTATAGAGGAATTTTGGAATATAGAATGCTCAAAGGATATTCTCTACCATACTTTTGAAAGTTTCACAAATTGATGAAGCGTCTACCTCTAATTTATGTTCATCCAAAACCCTTGAAAATATTTTTCTTCCCCTTGACATTTTTCCCATGAAAAGTCAATTTTGAGTTTTTTTTTTATAAATCTTGTATGGTATTTTTTTTACCATTTTTATTTGTAATTTTCTTTTTTGAATATCCACCTCAAATGTTTTAAACATTTTCATTTTTTCGCTCAATCTTGTAACTATTTTTTTCCCTTTTCCTTAACATTTTCTAACCATAAAAAGTTTAATTTTAAGTGTTTTTTGTAAATATTATATGGTATTTTATCTTTTTTATTTGTAATTTTTTTAATCCTCATCTAAAGTGTTTTAAGCAATTTCCTTTTCCTCTCAGTCTTGTGACCATTGTCATTAATTTGTTTCCTGTACAAAAATATTAGAATTTGGAGATGTAAACAATAAAGCATCAGCCTCTACAAGAGGAATTTAGAGAATGTATTCCAATTTTTACCATTGTCATTAATTTGTTTCTTGTTTATAAGAATGTTAATAATGTTAACATTATTATAATATTAATAACACTATTATAATGTTAACATTAATATAATATAATATATATTATAATGTTAGTATTATTAGTAACATTAATAATATAATTATTTATAACATTAATGTTACTAATAATTAATAATAACATTAATGTTAATAATATTAATGTTAATTATTAATAACATTAATAATGATAATGTAATAATAATGTAACATTATTAACATTAATGATGTTAACATTATTAATATTATAATGTTAATAACATTAACATTAAAAATATTAGTGTTAACATTATTATAATAACATTATGATAATAATGATAATATTATTATTAATATTATTAATGCTATTAATATTAATGTTAATTTTATATTGTTATTATTATAGTTAATAACTTATAATGTTAATATTATAGCATTAGTAATAATGTTATTAATAATTAACATTAATTAATATTATTATTAATTAATAATGTCAATAACATTATTAACATTAATAATGTTAGCATTATAATGTTAATAACATTATTATACTGTTATAATGTTCACATTATAATAATATTGTTATTAATGTTAGTATTTATAATTATAAAGTTATTAGTAATGTAAAGAATGTTATTAATGTTAACATTAATTAATAATGTTAACATTATAATAATTTTATTAATAACATTATTATTAATTGTAATGTTAATAATGTTATTAATAATGGTTATTATAATTATTAATAACATTAATATTAATAATAATGATAATATTATAAGATTAATGTTATAATAGTGTTATTAATAGTATAATGTTATAATATTAACATTATAATAATATTTTATTAATGCTATTAATCGTCATTATAAAGTTATTATAATGTTAATTGTAACACTAATGTTAATTAATATTAACATTATTATTATTAACATTAAAATGTTATTAACATTATACATTATGACATTAATAATAATGTTAACATTATAACATTAATGTTACTAATAATATTAATATATTAATAATAATAATAATATTAATAATGTTTTTGACAATGACTATTGTAATTATTAATAAATATTAATAATATCACAATGTTAATAAAATTATTATAATGTTATAATGTTAACACTCTTAGTCAACTGTCAAATGGAGGTTCTCAACCGTCAAATTTTCAAATAACACCCTTAGTTAATCGTCAAATAGAGGTTCTCCTAGACTCCCGCGTATTATTCGCTTGAATAAATAGAGGTTCTCAACCGTCAAATTATCAAATTACTCCCTTAGTTATCGGATCCCCTCATTTGTTTTCGTTCCTTAGAACCGAAGGAAAAAACTGTTACTTTCGTCTCTATTACAGTCGCTGCAAGGCCTTGAGGCAACGTTTCTCTATTTGATTTTCTTCAATGACGGGGAGAGGTTCAGCGAGTACGAATGCTCCTATCACTATGATCGTCACGAATACACCATCCGCAGATCTAGCTCTCACCAATCTCGCTTATTGCTCAGCTTTGGATCTCAAAAACTTTGCAGTTCCTGGGTCTAATCTCTTCCTAGCATTAGTGGCCGATTCCTTCGTTCTGTCTCTCCGATATCCTTTCATTCCCGGTTTTCTTTGGAGCCAGTTGTTAATTCATATAGTTTGTGCTTGGTGCTTTCTATATGGACTGTTTTACATTTTTGTCCTGATTGGTAGACTGTTTTATATTTCTATTGGATGATAAATTGCTTACTTTTTTCCTATTGGTTTAAATCGAAGATCATTTAATTGAAGTGTTGGAAATGATGATTTGATTTTACTGAATAACTAGGACGAGCAATAACCAATGCAAGGGACATAACTTTTTCAACATTTACCTTCATTTCTAGCTTCAACTAGTAAATATTCTGTTATTATTTATTAGTAGTCAATAGAAATGAAATGAGTCCCATGAAATTGTCTTAGGAGGGGTGGGTGGGATGCTTTTGAATTTTGACTCAACCAGCCTCATTTTCTTCATCTTTATGGTCCTCTTGTTATTTAATTCTAGGTTTGCTTTTACTGCCTCTCGATCCATCCAATGTATTAGTAGAAGGTCTCCTTCACATGAAATATATATTTTTGTTCTACAATGGGCAATGCTCTGCATGTGAGTTTCTCCGTTAATTGGTGGAAATGATTTCTTTATACGTTACCTTCTTACAACATCATAAGTAGAGAATATTTCGATAAAATTGTCTTCTGGCTTAAGCATTTCATATTGTGCCTTTTTAGCAACTTTTAATTGGTTAGCCTATCTCATAAGGAATGAAAATCATACTCCTAGTTTTCTGATGATTTTGCTCCATAAATATTTGTTTCTGTATTACCTTGTAATAAAATGTGGATAAATTTCGAAAGAAAATTTTCATTCACTGTTTCAAATTCGAACTATTTTTTTTACTTATATATAAATTGAAAATTATAAGCACAATTTGTATTGTGTTTATGTGGACTTCTGTAGGGTGCTAACAAATTGAGTATTCCTTGGTGCCTAACATGTTTTTTATCCTTGTGTTTTGGTGGTGCTTGATGTCTCTTTTTGGAATTTTAAGTTTCTAATCAAGTCTATATCATTCTATTTATCAAGTATTTGTAAGGTTGTGGGGACTGGGAAGCATACACCTTATGGAAAGGTGCCATTGAAATGCATCTAGGTGCATTGCTTAATGCATAAAATGTTGGTGATATTCACCTCAAAGTGGTAACGTTACATTTATTATTGGGGTTTGCTTTTAAAAAGGTTTGTATAGCAATCAAGTAAACTGTTGTCAAATTGGAACAAACTAATATTTATATTTATTTAATATATTGTCATATCTAGTATAACTTATATACTTCTATTGTTTTCCTTTGTGGTTGGTAAAAAGCCACATGTATAGGCATGGTAGATATGAGTGTATTGAATATATCGAATATCTACTTAACATTCAAGGGAGATTTACTTCTCCTTCAAAGTTTTTAGCTTTAGAATTTTCATTGTATTTCACTAATTCACCTTCTATTTGACAGAATCAAAGTTTTTGAGTTGGAAATGTTTATTATCAAGATGCATCAAATGCATGAAATAGCTTTAAATAACTAATGCTGCTTTCTTTCATTTCTTTTTCTTTTCTTCACTTGGTCAACTTATATAAATACATCTTTATTTCTCAACCCACATCATATCGGATGAGATTAACAAAAAATGATATACCTCATAAATTGCTTTCCAAGGAGAGATCGAAGTTGCATTAGTAGCTACCATTGCACCCCATCTATTGTCCGATTGACCATTTATGTTTTCGATTACCTTGTGCCACAGCCTATCTCTTTCTAAAGGAAACCTCCACAACCACTTCTCTAAGAAGCTGAATTCTTTTGGACCATGTTTACAACCCCAAGCCCACATTTTTCTTTGGGTCTACTAACTTGTTCCCATTTTACCAAGTGGTCTTTCTTCCCATCCCTTGGTTCCCACAAAAATCCCTCATTAATTTTTCTAACTGCCTACCAATTTTAATAGAGATAAAGAAGGTAGAGAAGAAGTAGATAGGAAGGTTAGCTAATGTTGCTTTGATCAAAGAAATCCTTTTTTTTATTGGAAACAGTAGCTTCATGAATACAACTTAAGTATAACTTTCTAGAGTTAATTACAGCTGTCAACCCCTAAACAGGTGTTGAGCCCCCAGTAATCTTTCTTACAAAACTGCCTAGAACATTCTCTCCCTCACAGTCCCTTGTTTAGCCAACATGTCAGCTAAACCATTAGCTGATCTCCTTGTTCGTTTGAAGCACACACTGATCTCCCTTGTTGTGTTGAGGATTTCTCATATGGGCTGCTTATAAATCCAGGCTCCCAACTTACCAGATTGCATCCACTCAATCTACAATTTAGAGTCTCCCTCTATCAAAATTTGGTATCCTCCCACCCAAAGAAATGTAATTTCTTTTCCAAAGTTCCGGCTTTATTTGCAAATCTCTCCAACACAAGCTTCCAAAAGCTCTTAGATCTTGACTTTGTAGCCTAAGAAATCTGCTATTCTAATGACTTCCTCATCATGCAAATTCAGACCCACTAGACAGCCCTTCCCCAAGTTGATCCTTAAGTGAGATAACTTCTCAAAGGAACTGATAAGGGTCTTTAGGTTTCTAAGGGACTTATTGCTAATGTCATTACAAACAAAAACTCAATGCTAATGTCATTACAAGTAGAATTATGTCATCTGCAAATTGCAAATGTGTAACTACAACCTCGGTCCTTCCCACCCTTTAGCCTATGATTAGGTTATCCATGTCTATCTTTAAGATCGTTCTACTTAGGACCTCTGCAATCATAGTGAATAGGAAAGGGGACAAAGGGTCACTATTTCTCAAACCTCTTTTAGTTGGGAAGAAATCTCTAGTAGGCATATTGATCAGAATTGAATATTGCACTGAGCTCAGGCATCCTTTAATCCACAATCTCCACCTTTCCTCCCAACCCAAATCTCTCCATAATCTCAAGGAAGGACCAATCCACTAATTCATAAGCCTTTTCTAAGTCCAATTTACAAATAAACCCTTTCCCTCCTTTTTCTTCTTACCTACTACACATTCATTTTCCACTAGAATTTGGTCCACAAATTTTCTCCCTTCCACAAATGCACCTTCCACAAATGCACCTTGATTTTGTGAATTCACTATGGGAAAAACCTTCTTTAGTCTATCTAACAGAACCTTTTCTATTATTTTATATAGGTTGCCCACCAAGCTAATTGGCCTGAAGTCCCTTGGGGTTTTAGCTTCCTTTTTCTTGGGTGTTAGGGTAATGAAGGTTGAGTTTGTTCCCGGGGAGATCTCCCCTTTCTGGTGAAACTTATCAAATACCTCTTTCAAATCATTTTCCATTAAGAAAATCCCAACAATCTTGGAAAAAAGACATAGTAAATCCATCTGGCCATGGTACTTTTAATCTTTCCATGGAGAAGACAACCTTTTTAATTTCCTCAATGCTAAAATCACTCTCCAAAGAACTTTGTTGACTGCTTATCATCCTATCTCATTCCAGATTATGGAGTTCTTGTCTGTTCCCCCCTAGTTTGGAAAAAAAATGCTTCTGAAGTGGCCCAAAAAAACCTTAACAATCTCCTCTTCTCTTCTTACATCAATTCCATCCACTTCCACACTAGTTATGAAAATTTTCCTTCCCCTCCCATTTTCTAAAGAATGGAAAAATCTCGTATTTCAGTCCCCTCCTAAATCAATTTACATCTTGACTTTTGTCTCCTAGAAAATTCTTACTTTTCTTAAAAGATCTTCCAACTCCACCTTCAACTTCTAACGCTCTATTCTTTCTTCCTCACTAAATTCTCTCAAATGTTTCTTTTTGTTCAACTCTATCCTAGAAGTGATTCTCTCTTGAGCTTCTTCAATTCTTCCAAAATGATTCTTATTCCAATCTTTTAAATTCTCTTTTGAGGCTTTCAACTTCCTCATAAAATCAACAACCTATTTAGTTTGGACTTTGGAGTAGATTGGATTGGTTTGAAAGTTTGATGAAGTGAACTCAACTTGGAATAGAGGGGGTTCCTTTAGCTCAAAGGATTCATTTAGATTTTTAAACTTCCTCATGATGATAGTAATACCTTGGTTTGGGTTGTTTGTTTCCCTTGAAGACCTTAAAGATTGAAGTCTCCCCTAGACACCAAGGCCCCTCTCACTCTCATTATTACACTTTCATTGTTAATGCAACAATTATTGATAAAATTAATGTGAGTGTTTTGCTTTCCTCTTTCACATTTTTATAATTTACTAGCAAATATGTATGTGCTTTGCACGTGGCAAGTTTGGATGATGATAATGATAATAGTAGTAATAATATGTCTCCAAAATTTTCTACAATTTTTTTATATTTCTATGTGTAAAAACCTGTGTTTAGAAAACCAGACTGAACTGACCGATCGAACCGGTTGAACCATGACCCATGGCACTAACCGGTTCGGTTACACCCCAATAATCGGAATTGCTCAAACCAGTTGAAAATCGGCTGACTGGCCTGTTTAACCAGAAAATTGGTGAACCAGTCTTGGTTTCATGAAACTACCTAGGTCTATACATAAGTGAAATTTTAAAATGTTGTTAACAAGATTGGAACCCAAGACCTCTTATTTTCACAGATTACTTAATTACTACTAATCCACCTCTTTACTTAATGCTAATTAATGACTCTTTTTTGTTCATATTACATTATTATGCACGTATTTTAAAGTAAATGTAGATTAAAAGGTTTGAACCGTAGTCATTTGTTTTAAAAATTAAGAAACTCACCTTCCATCCACCATATTTATGTATATTAAAAGTTGTAAAATATATTATATATAGTATTTATATGACTCATAATATATATATGTATATGTCACATCATCACGGTTCGACCTTCGATTTGGCCCCGATCGAACCTCTGATCCTTGAACCTCTCCTTTCTCCGGTTCTATGCCCGGTCTAGTTCTCTCAACATTGATAAAAAAATTCTTATTTATCACACTTATTTGTTTTTTACAAAATTTCTAGATTTTTTCTTTATTTTTCTATATTATTTTTTTTATTATTTAATTATGACATCAAGGGTTGACACATTTGGCTTGAAAAGGAGAACTATTGACTTGTCACCAAACAGAAAAACAATTTTTTAATCAATAACAAAACCAATTTCATTAAGAAGGGGAATTTTAAATTTTGCATCAATTTTAAATTTTGTATTTATCACATTTATTTTTCTTTGATATGATTAATGAAAAATATTATAGATGTGCCCATTTTATTTGCTTTTTTTTTTAATTTTTGTATTTATCTCTATTTTTAAAAAAATCATTATTTAGCTATTGTATCATGGGTTGGCCAATTTCACCCGAATGGTTGAATTGTTTCCTTGCCACATGGAGGAAATAATGGTTTAGTTTTGGGTCAGTTCTTAAAAACATGGGTTTTAAATTGTTAAAAGTATTAGATATAGATCTAATTGGTAGAATCTATTGGTAAAAAACACCTTAAGTATAGGATTTTAATGAGAAAGAATTGGAGTTAATACCTCCAATATAAGACTTAATGAAAGGGAATTGAATGAAGGGAAAAGTAGTAGTTCAAACTAATTACCTTTTTCTGCCCTCACAATCAAAGAGAACCAAATTAAAAAATAGCGGCATTTTTGTCAATAAGAAAAGTTCCACATGCTCATTGGTACTTTAGTTATAGGCCTCATGTCCCGGGGGATCCATGAGGCACTGTTGCACTTGCTTTTCAAGGTGTTGGTTCATTTGTATATATTTTTTTGAAGTTGAAATTATAATTCACTTATAATATTCTTTGGTTATTATTATTTTGCATGCTATTTACTTTTTTAGGCCATAACATGGATTTGCTTGCAAGTGTATTCCTCTTTTGATATTGAGTGGAAAAAATTGCCCCTCTTGCCCCTCTGATGTGGTGGTAATTATTTTTTTGATCAATAACTACAAATTTCGTGGTAGGAATTTTTATACAACACCAAAATTTTTAAACAATTTAAGAATGGTTGGCTGGTGTCTGTTTTTGAAGGAGTTCACATTTTTTGGACCCTTAACTAATACATACTGCACATGAAAGTATACATGATGGTAATATTGCATTAAATGCCATCCAACGAAGGTATGCAAGAGTTTCTACTGGGGATACAGTATCTGCTAGCAGGTTAGATGATTGGGCCTTGGATTTTTTCTTCTAGATGTATTTTATGTGTTCTTCATGCTTTTTTTGTAATTTTCCAATGGTACCATATTACCTAGATTTATTCCACCTGACGGTTTCAACCTAGCACTGCTTACATTGGAGTTGGAGTTTGTGAAGAAAGGGACTAAAAGTGAACAGGTAAGCCTTTTCATTGGATAGGTTGTACCTTAAGTTTGTTTGAAGCAATGTGATATTTATGATACTTGAGCCTAAATGAGTTATATACTTGGTTTTTTGTGGAGAGTGATTCCTTGGGGTGGACACAAATCGAGCTTTGCACAAGCTTTTGGCTTAGTCTAAACTGAGCTTTGTGGTGAGCTCTAGCCTAATAAAGCTCAGATCGTAAGGCTTGTGAATATATACATACATATATATATGCATTACATGTGGCAATTTCAGATAACATTAATAATTTTAATATCCTTATTAGAACCATTTAAAAAGGATAAATAATCAAAGCATGGTGTGCTGGTGGATTTAAATTTTATATTTCATTTCCATTGTTAATAAAAATACTTCTAATTTATCATATTTATTTTTTTATTATGATAAATATAGAATATTAGAGATGTACAAAAACTTTTGTTGACAGTTTTTTGTGTTTTTTATATTTTTTATTTCTCTTTTTTTTATTTTTTATTATATAATTATGACATCATGTGATGGCCTATTTGACTTGAAAGAAATCAATCTCATTTTTGGGTAACTTTAAGTTCTTTGTTCCATTTACATAATTAATTCTGAAAATAGTTTTTGTTTATCACACTTATTTTTATTTGAAATGATAAGTTTATAATATCTTAGATATGTCAAAAATTTCTATTAATTTTATGTTTTTATCTATTTTTAAAATTTTATTATTTAATTATGACATCATTGGTTAACCCATTTACCCAAACAATTGGACCATTATGGTGCAAGCCAAGTAGGTTGGGCTGAATTTAAGCTTAACCTAGGCCCAACCCTATGCATTGAACCTAAGGCTTCAAGACCAAAGTCAAGCCCAATTTATCCAACATGGGCCTAACTTGCATTGAAATTTGATGCACTTGGGTCTATCAATTAGCCTCATGATAAAATTTGATATAAAATGTATGTGTATAATTGCATATACATGCATGTATGCAAATATTTGCTATATATGTATTTATGATTGTATGTGTATAATCAAGCTTGGCTTTAGCTACCGAAGGGATAGGCTTAGCTCAACCCAAAAAATAAAACGCCCAAACCTTTTAAGCCTAGGCCTAGGTGAAGGGATGAGAGATCCATCATATGGATGGCCGAACCCTGCAGGAAGGTTGGGTGAAATTTCCAAAATTTCTCTCTCTCCCATGTGGGAATCACATTCCCTATTTTAGAAAACTGCATTTTCAATGATCAATCTTGAAACCAAACCGGACCAGATCTGAAATCAAAAGGGAGTAGAGGGATATACCTGATACGGAGTAATAATAAACCCCCAATGAAAGTGTTCATGCCCAAGGAGAAGACCAAAGACTATTTGGTCTTAATGGGCTCTTAATAAACCCCTAGTGAACCCCCAGTAAACCCCTAATAAACCCCCAGTGAACCCCCAGTGAACCCCTAAGTCCATCACCATGGGCTCTTAATGGGCCCAACATTTACACTAAATGGTCATTGGGTCAAGCCACCTTATAAAAAACCCATGGACTGTGGGAAGATGCAAGATTAGCCCATCAGGTATTACCCTCAATGGTTTTACACTTAACCTCATAGCCCATAATGATCAAACACTGCCCGACAAGAAAGGACCTCTCCCTCGGCTACAAAGTACAGTGTTGCACTCTCTACTCACATGAATCCCAGGAATTAAAACCTTTTGCAAACATTTTGAAACCATAATATATATATATATATCTCTATATAAATATATTTTGCAAAACAAATTTCAACGGTTGAAATTGACTGTCGGCAGTTTTGGTTTCCATCAGAGAGAGTGCATCCCCGATCATTCACTTTGTCCAACAAAGGGGCTGATCCTGTCACTATGATCACCCACTCAGATGAATTCTCGGACTGTCCCAACATACCCAGGT